CCCTCATGCCCCAGCCAGCCCTGTCAGTGTCTACCTGTGCGTTGCAGTGGATTAAGTAACCTGCAGTAGGATAGTATTTGCATCTGGCAGTACTATCCTATGGCAGAGTTAATTCATTTACTTTGGCCCACCACGTATGTAGACAGTGACGTTTTACTCCGGAGCTAATTAGTCAGCTCCACAGTAAATGTCTTGTGTAGATGCAGCCACAGACTAAGCAGCAGCTTACGTAGGCCTTTCTTTGTTTCAGTTATGTATCTATTTTCTTTAATGTACTAATCACAAATTTCTATAAATGAGGCAGTTTTGGAGGCATGCATTTAGGAGTACAAAGTACAAAAACTCATGTTATAAATTGCATAAAATGCTTTTCTGGTGGTAAAGTTACTTTAAAAATTGAACAGATAAAAACGGTGAGAAATAACAGAATTCCAACTTCCATTCTAAGTGTCATCTTAAGGTTGGGTTTTTTTTGCACTGCTTAAAAATGTTTATTAACAATGATGATCTGGTATGTTAGAGGCTTCCTCTTCACAGAGTCATACTTACAATATCTGTATTAAATTAATTTCTCTCTTGAAATAGAACCGTTTATATTGGAGCCTTAGAAAATGATGTTGAGACTGCAGTAACTGAAGTCAGATATAAAGTTATAAAAATTGTATCAACTCTACTCATACGCTCTGAAATACTTTTATGGCCATACATATAAATGGGGTAAACCTTTCTGTGAGTAAAAGTAATGGATATAGGAGTAGGAAGATGTGCACTGGAGCGACCACTACTAGAGAACTGTCTGCAGTTATGTCAACAGTTCAAGAAGGCTGTTGATAAATTTGAGAAGAGCCACAAGTATAGTTTAAGCACTAGAAAGCACCTCTCACTGAAAGACTTCAGGAACTTGGTGTATTTTGTTTAACAAAAAGAAGAGTGACTTGATTAGTCTAAGTGTGAAACAAAAGCTTGATAAGAAGGCTCTTCAGTCTTCAGATTAAGTGGATTCTCCATCACTGACAAATTTTAAAATTAAGATTGAATGTTTTCCTGTAAGGTGCCATAGTTCAAACAGGAGTTAACACAGGCCACCGGGAATACCTGAATTAAGCAGGAAATCAGGCTGGAGGATTACTAGAATCTCTTTTCTGGCTTTATAATCTAAAAATAGGAGTGAAGGGCTGTTCTTAGACATTAGCCTAATGGATTTAATACTTTCCTAGCCATGAGAGAGGGAGAAGTGAAGCCTCTCTGTCCTTGGCAGATGAATTTGAGCAAAAGACGGAGGGATCTTACAGTAAAAAGCCCTAGGAGTACTGCCAGCTCTAGATGTGGTAAAACTTAAGCTAATGTTTATGATGGTTTTGTTTTTACATAAACAATAGGCAGACCACATGATGCAAATAGCCTTTGGGTCATATCAAAGATGTACAGGCTCCTCATTGAAGCTATGTGATAACACTGCCTTTTAAAATACTAAAATAACCTAATTAATAGAGCCTTCTTCCCTTTCTTTCCTAATCCTTCAATAATAAGAATAATTAGAAATATATAGTGCTTTTTGGACTTATCCAGGCAATTAAACTAAAAACTCATGTACAGTGTGCAACTTTGACTTTCAGGCATTCACAATTTTGCTGTATTGTGGAGCAAGGAAATGACTGCATAGTTTTCAAAAACAAAGGCTCATGGCTCTCCCCAGTTTATGAATATTCTGTGAAATTGGATCTTGGGGTATCAGTTTTCTTTCTCAACAGTCTTAATTAAGGTTGTTATCTGTTTTTATTTCCTCTGCTGGAAAAAAAATCTCAGGAAATGATATGAAATTGAACCCATTGTACATCGATTATATTCTAGGTAAATTGTTAACTGTCACTTGCACAGGAATCTAGTTGATAAAATAAATTATCTAACTGATAGCCAATGTAACTGAGTAACGATGTAGTACTTATATTTTTATTTTTTCAACAGCATACTTGGGTCCACCAGCAGTTAACATTACTCCGTATCCAGACTCCATAAATATAACAACAAAACTTCCAGCCTCACATTTAAAAAGAGAAGGAAAAGTGTTGTCTTTAATTGACATATATGACGAACTTAATTATGTTATAACTATGAGAACATCTGATGCACAGGTAAGCAGTGTGTCATTCTGTTGATGACTAAAGGAACAATTTTAAGTATACTTTGGCCTAAACCATAAGAGAGCCTGTAGAAGATGAGCTCTGATATAGTTGTTGTAGCTGTATAGATGAAACAGAATAGAATTATCAGTTTCAAATATATAAAATCATTTATATTTTCCTCAAGGCTTTAGCTGAGCAACCTTTGGGAACTTAAGGTGTTTTTTTCATTCAGAGTGATACACTGCACCTACTGGTGCAATAGTGTAAGGGAAATGCTGTTCAGTCTTTTGAAGCATCTAACATTGGCTACTGCTAGAGACAAGCTACCTCACTAGATAGCCTGGTATATTGATTTATTCTGGTATGTCTGGTATTGCACATTACTGATAAAAGAATTCAACTCAGCCCTGGAATATTTTAAAAGTGCCTCTTGTTTAGCTTTTTTGAAGATAGTCTTTAAGCATAATATGGAAGGTGTTTAAATGCTGGAATGGATAGGCTAGGATACATAGAACAATGGGTAAAAACAACCATCGGACTAGTAAGACAAAAAAGCCCTGAGCCTTAAATGATTTTTTTGGGCAGAGGTGCAGCTTCAGAGTGCACATGCTCAGAGCAACTATAGTAACTGCTTTTCTTCCACTCTTTAAAAAATAAATAAATAAATAAAATAAAAAAACCACAACCCTCCCCCCACAAAAAACCCCAGTGACATGCTCTTTCCCCATAGAATCACTTATCTTTAAATGAGTTTTTTGTTCATAGCAGAACAAAACCAAAAACACTTTAAATTATGCATGAATAAAGTGCTTTCTGGACCCAGCATCAGCTCAATGAAATTAATCCCTGTTTCTCTCAATGTGAAAGAATGTCAGCTTTATACTCAACAAACTAGGGTTTTCCAACTTTGGTTCTTTGAAAAACTTCCCTCCTTGGTTGTATTTACCAGTGTTCAAGGGGGGAGGGTTCCTGGCATAGCTATTAAATATGTTTTCATCAGGGCATTATGACCCTTTTAGGCAACTAGCTATAACTCAGTTTGCATTATTTTATAGGTGATGACTCTTAAGAATACAACCACTAAAGAACATTTTGCTACTGTTGTTGAAGGCTTGTATCCAAATGCAAATTACTGTGTGTCTGTTGCTGTGACTGCACGTATAAATGTTAAATCCATCCCATCAGCCTTGAAATGTGTAATTACTGGCTCCATCAATCAACAAGGTAGGTGTAATGATGTGTAATTGGGTTGTCTGATTTTCTTAATAGTGTTTTCATTCTCCCACATGGAGAGAGAATATTATTTAAATCAGGGGCATCAAACATGGGGTTCTGTAGGCCAGATGTGGCTTATGGAGAACCTCTGGCTGGCCTGCCAGGTTATGGGCAGGCTACCAGAAGCTGGGGCCATGATCAAGGAGGAGCTTGGCCTGCTTCATTGCTCATGGCCCCTGGGCCCTGCTGGACATGGCCATTGGGGCAGGAGGGCTACCAAGGGCTTGCCCTGCAGCCACTTGGCCCACCAGCCTTGGACCTCTGCCACCACCTCCAGATCCACACTGCTGCTGCTGCTAGACCTGAAGCAGCTGCTGACCCCACAGATCCAGACAGAGAAGAGCCCCATGGGTTGGATCTGGCTCAAGGTGAGTTCCCAGATGGTGGGGAACATAAAAGAAGGATAAGCCATCTTGTAACTTTACCTAATCATACAAATGAGATTTTTTTTTTTTGAAGACAAAGTTTTTAATGCATATTAAATCTTAAATTTAAGTTCTGTACATGTAACGGAAACTTAGGATAAACTGGATAGTTCTCCTGTATTATTAGGCTTTACATGCTCTGTTTTCCCTTTGTAGGTTATCCTGCAGCGTCACTCATAGGTGGGGTGCTTGTTGCATTGGTAGTGTGCGTGATCCTTTGCATCTTGCGCAGAGGAGGCTTTATCAGATTAAAAACTAAAAAATGGCCCAGCGTTTTGGTAAGTACTCTTTTTCATATGTAACGTATCTAGTGTGAATGTCTCATTGTGCTTATGCAGCAAGAAGGACTTCTGACACTGTACCGTACAGAAAAAATAAGTAACACTTCTTTTCAAAAAGTAAATTGCATAATAAATGAAAATCTGATCTTTCTTTCCTTTTTCATGTCCTTGTGACATGCATTGTATTTAGCAAAATTCACATATTCACTGGAATCTGACATGGCCATGCCATGAGCACTTCTTCTGTGACCTTGAGCTTGCAACTTCTGGGCTATCAACTATGCACTTTGGTGCCCACACCACCCTGGCCCCTATCTGTTCCCCCGCCTTATTATAGACTGCCAAATGCCTAAGGCGTAGAGATGAGATGAAAAAGTACATTCCCAAAAAACTCTTTATGCCTTTTTGTTGTTTTTCCTTTTTCTACTTGTAGAAGTTGTGAAACTGACACTCTAATCGGTCTGTTGTTTCTCTATGCACCCTAAAAGGATTGGGGGAATCTGTAGACTCCATGGATCCCCCACTGGACCATGGGGCCAGCCATTGGGAGGAAAAGTACCTGAGGGAAAGTCAAATGTTGCGTGGGTTTGTTTGTTTTTTCCTGAAATATTTTCCATACTATGGAATTTTAATTTTATTTTCTGGTTAAAAAACAAACAAACCACCACACAGGCATATTAGCTTTCCTTGGTGAGCTCTAGCTTCCAGAAGGCTTCTAAAGAATGTTGTGGTGTAACCAGAATGGTGGATTCTAGAGCACTGTGAGAATTGAAAAGGAAAAATAGAGACTGTAACCAGTGCTGTGTTACATACCACCAAAAACCTAGATGTGGGTATATTAGGAGCCTGTTGCACTAAATGTTGATGATTTAATTTGCAATTACTTCTACATCTGCAGATGAGTAATTTTTGTACTTTAAGTGTATGTACTGTAAGCTCATCAAAACAAGTTTTGTCCTACTTCTAAGGCAACACAAAGTCTTCTGTATACTCTGAAGACTGCAGTATAGGGCCCTGTAGAGATACATAAGCTAGCTTTAAACAAGCCAACTTGGATACCAGATGCAACCAAGTCACAGGAGCACAATGTGTGATGTGGGACATATGTAGTTGGGAAGGAGCTAGGACAGACTCCCTGGGTGTGAGGCAGGGAAGTGGGAGTGAGTAGGGAAGAAGTATGGGAATATTTTTATTTTCTTTTAAGGCAGTGAGTGGAATCTGGGAAGCAAGGTTGGGTTCAGCAGGGAGGATGCTCTCCTAGGTAAGAGGTAGGAGAATGGGAATGGATATGGTAGGATAGATTGCTTTGAATTTAGGGTATTTGGTAGGGGAAACTTGTTTTGTGTTGCTGCTTATTTAAATATTTTATTTTGTTTTTCATACATGGACTACTTTGTCTTTTGTCATGAGTCTATTAAGAGAAGGACAGCATTATATCAAATAAGTAGTATGCAATTAACCCTGCCTTTTCCTTTCAGAAGGGGAGATTAGCCAACATAGTTCCCTGCTTCTGTGACTTGTGCTTCTGGTTGTCACGGGGCGGGGACCTAAGAACAGCCGTGATCTCTCCTAGCGCCCCTTACTGTGCCAAGTGGGGTGTCCATGTACCCTCGTTCTCGCCCGCCACGTCTTTGATGACCAAAAGTATTAAGGGAGGCTGCCTTTTCAACCCCTTTGGACACGGTACCCTGATGTATCCCAGTTCGTCTCCCGTCTTAGCGGACTCCGTGAATTAAAGCCTCAAGGGCTACGCGTGGCTCCTACCGCCCCAAGCCTCTCAGATGTCCCGGACGTTGTCTAGTCAATTACTGTTGCCCGCGCCCTCGCGGACACTCCCAGGCCTCTTTAGGCTGAGCCCATACCAGGCTCCTCTCGCGCTCGCCCTCGCTGGGGCTCCTCTCATGCTCGCTCGCGCCGGGGCCTTGCCCCGCGATTCCCGCCTGTACTGGGGCCTGTCTCCGCGATTCCTGCAGTTGAGGCTCAGGTGGCCGTAGCTGTGCCTGGCCCCCAAATTCCCCTCTTGGGGCTTCCCGTCCTGTGCGCCCTGCCTGGGGCTTAACGCAAGCACCCTCTGGGCTTCTCGCCAGTGCCCACTCTGGTGCTCCTCACAATGGGGGCTCAGGTGGCCATAGCCGTGCCTGGCCCCTAAATCCCCTCCTCGGGTCTATGATTTCTATACGGCTCAGGCAGCCTTGGCCTTACCTGGCCCTCCAATGCACAGTGCCCCTTCTCAGGGCTCTGGGGTCAGTGCACCCCTAGGTGCAGTGCCCTCCCTGGCACCGGGATCCCCACACTGCTGTGGAGCCCCTAATGAGGCCTCCTTCAACCCCTACAGCCTCACCCCGTCCTCCAGTGCAACAACAAAGCAAAACCATAAACCAATTGGCCACAACTCAGGAACTAAGCCACCTGGCTAAACATAAACTCTAAGCCCTCTGGCTACTCATCAATCAAATCCCCTATCCGGGCTTTCTCCTCCCAGTATCCTCGAGCCAAAGCTATTCAGGCCATCAAGCTGCCTACTCCAGCAGAGCTCCTTCTCCCATGGATGTTAGTGGGGAACTGCCTACTTGGCCTCAGCCTAGGCTGTTTATATAGGCCAGGCCCTGCCCTCTTCCGGTCAGCTGACCAAACTGCAGTTGCCCCAGCAACCAGCACCTGTATCTTTTCTCTAGGAGCAGGGCACTTCAATGCCCTGCAACACTGGTACCTAACCAAGTTTGTTTAAAGCCAGCTCTAGTGTTAATACACTATAGAGTAGGGCTGCTCAGTAGACATACCCATTCAGGTATCTTGAAACTACCTAATTATACAGTATATTAGTATGCATTGCAATATCTGCCAGTTACTGGAATCTCACTTAATAAAATCAGCTGCATATTAGAATCAAAACTCCAAAACCAGATCCCAAAAGCATTGTAACTATGTATGTTTTCTCCTCCTTGTAAACATCTCACTTCAGAGAAACAGTTGTATATAAGTCTAACCATGGCCTGTGCCTACAAGTCATTCTTCCCCCAAAAGGTATTAGAATCAATGAGTAAAATACACTGAAGGACCAAACTTTTTCAGAGTTTTATTACAGGACTCTACACAGGCTTTTTACTCTGCTCACTTTTACTTTGCAATTGTTTATTAGACTTACTGGTTATTAGAATCAAGTGTAAAGACATTTTCCCATTACAGTGTGCCAGGCAGCTTCAGGTGTTGTGGATGCTTTAAATTCCCTTAGCTTGATGTTTCCCCTTACAAACTTACAGCATTTATGGCTTTAAGCATTGTGTAATGGTCCAACTCCATTACAGTTCAATGAGTCTTTTCATTTACTCTATCGAGAGTTGGATCATGCTCAAAACTAGAGCTTTGAGTATAATTGAGCACTCAAGGGGTGCATCTACATATCCACTTTATCACAGAGCTGACTAATTAGCTCTGCAGTAAAGCATCACCATCTACACATGCACCCATATTAGCGCACAGTGAATTAACTCTGCTGTAGGATAGTACTGTCCAGGACAAGTACTATCCTATGGCGAAGTAGTTACGTGTGCCAAAACACATGTGTCGATGGTGACCAGGGCTGACTGGGGCACAAGGGTGCTGCAGTGTGGGGGCTGCCTGCCACTGAGCCCCACACTGGCACTGTTGTGCCCCAGCCAGCTCTCCAGAGCTGTGCCTGACAGTAAGCATTGTTGGGGAGGAGGATCAGAGGCTGAAGGGAGGCAGGTAACTGCAATGACTCTGACCTTTCCCCACACCCCCCATTCTTGTACTCGAGTCCAAGACAAGGGGCTTTTGCCCCCATGCTGAATGGGGGGAAAAAAAACCTAATCTTGGATTTGAGTAAATACAGTATTTGAGTGACTATAATTATAAATAAACATTGTGAGGTGTTGCAACAAAACTTGCAACAAAATCCATTAGAAACTCTTCAAGGGAGAAAATCCCACAAAAAGTACATTTTCTGAATATCCTGGAAATTCATAATGTCTTCTTTCCTGGGTTTGGCCAGAAACTTGGCCCCAGCTAAGGTCAGAGAGGACTAATACATGTTGCCATGAGATTTTCCAGCTCTGTGTATGTGTGCTTGCAGTTTTAGAGAAGGATGTCAGGCATTAGCAAATGGAAAGGAGAACTAATTCTGTATTATCGAAATTTTGCTGGGAATACTAGAATATTGAAGTCAAGTGGGGCATTAACTTTTCTAGAGGATTGTTGGGGGGGGTTTAGTGTAAATCAAGGGTAGCGAAAAAACAGCTCTTGAGCAGTTTAAATGAGGCTTTAATGAGGAGGAAAAAAGTAGTTGTGGATTGCTGTGGGCAGATCATGGACTCTGGGACATGCACATGTCAGAAACTTTTTCTGAGCTCTCAGCTGTGTCAAGGTTTTGGTTTACAGCTAGAAGGCTTAGAAAGTTTGGCAAGAACATACAAGTGCATAGTGATGAAGGAGTTCATAATGTAGAAAAATGGTTGTTTTGTCATAATTCATTTGAATTTTTTCTCTTAGAAAACCACAAGGAATTTGGGTTACTCAGTGTGTGAACCTGAACCTGAAAATGTAAGTCCTGTGCAAGTAGTTTTTCAAGACGTTAAAAAGAAGGTGTGGGATTACAATTACGGTGATGATGATGATGACGACGACGACGATGACACTGGAAACAACGGTGCCTATACTATGCATGGTATCATTCGCAGAGATTCAGGTGATCATGCAGAGCAAAACATTTCAGTGAAACATTCTATGGACTGTATTTCCACAGAGAGCAGCAGTCAATCAAATGAACTTTTGGCCACTGATGTAGAAAACTCTGGGGAAAAACAAATTAGCATTAAGAAAAATGAAGACACAAGTTCTAAAGAGTCCCATCATCCTTCATTAGAAGAAAACTGTTCTATGGCCTCCGTGTCAAGGAATAGTACTTGCTTTAACATAAATTTAAATACTGTGATGTTGGGAGACTTGGAAGAGCTGTGGGATGATACTTCAGCCCTAATCTCCCACCAGGAGGATGCAGATGATCTGCCAGAATGTGATGATTCTGATGCACTTGAATCAAAACTTTTCACAGATGCAGTAGATGTGCAGAAAATAGACTGTCACAACATCTCACATGAATGGCAAAAATCTAGTTTCTCGGATGAAAGTGATTTGTCAGATTCAGGTACAGACCAGGTGACTGAATACATAGGAAGATGAGTTAATAGAAACGAGCACTATTTTACAAAACACAAATACAAAACAAGCACTATTTTACAAAAGCATGGTCTCGTGTTTCAAAATATATCTAATTTGGAGCTGAGACTATACTTTCCAAGTAAACCAGCCATGTAGATGTATGTTGTCAGACATTCAAGAATCATGTTAATTACAGCCTGCATTATTCACATAAATACAAATAACTATTCTGAAGATAAATAAATATATGTAGCAACTACACAGGCCAGTTAGTCAGTTTTGCAAAATCTCAGAAGACTTATCCATGGATTGCAACACTTAAGTGTTAAACAGTAGATGTTTACCACACATTCCAAACAGAAAGAAGTATTTGTTACCAGGTGGTCCTTAACAAAATCTTCTTTGTTAGAAATACATGAACAGGAAAGTATTCCATGTAGTCAATCTTTGGAAGGTCTGTTCCTTTCTTACTATTCTGCAGTGAGTTTTACCCAGTGTGACAATGGAGTAATGTTGCGTTCCTGTGGATCAGTTGAGTCTCATGATGAAGTTCTACTGATCAAGTGAAAGCCACAGAAAAAGCTGCTGAAAAAAATTGTCAACCTCTATTCTTAGGTAGAAACAGAAGTAGATGTCTTTTTTTTTTGTCTATTTGTATTACCAGTTTTGTATCCTTTTTTTAATGGTTTTAATTATCAACTGCCACAATTGTGAGATCCAATAAAGGTATTTTAAAACCAAACGTTTGGAAATTGTTGTTCTTGTAACCTTAATGGTATTGCATGGGTGCTCCATATGAGCTTGTGAATAGGTTTATGCATGCAGACACAATGAATGCCCCCGGTTCTCTATCCATTCTGGCTCCTTTATATCATCGAAAAGCAATCAGAACTCAGCTGTAGACAAGTCCTCACAGAGGTTCATTTTTAGTAGTGCAGGACCAAGCTGATCATAGCATAGAGACTTTGGAGGAGCCATGGCTAGTATGTACTGTTTGTCAGCAGGTTCCAGGTGAGATGCAATCCCTTGGCAATGAGTGTAAAACCATGTAAATTAAAGCAGCTTCCAATATGCTGTAAACTACATGGGGACTGTATGAATCTGCCCTTGGAATGAGTGCGTTATCCAAGAGCTTGGATTGTGAAAAGTGGATTCTTTGCAGATATGTACATCAGTTGAACTGATAACTAAATTCCACTTTGACAGAACCAACTGTTGAACTGCGTTGTCTTCAAGTTACGTATCTACATACATCTGAAAGCAGCAGGATTGACTAGTGGTCCTGAGGACCAGCAGGGCTTTGAGGATGTGACTGAAGGCAGAATTTGACCCTCTTGAACATTCTATTACTGAAGATAATACATTAAGCCAGAAAGCATGCAGTAGTCCTACCCCGATAAAGGAGTGGCTCTCCTAGTGAAAGGAATAGTGCACATGTTTACTTGGGGTAGGGCAGGGTGGCACCTTAGAGAAAAACTGGTTCAGAGAAGTATAAGCTTTCCTAGGCAACAGCCTACTTAATCGATGTTATGACTGGACCAACAGAAAGAAAGGGTTTTTAAAGAAGAGAAAGGGACAGGAGGAGGGACACAGCTTACCTTCTGCTGAGACCGGTAAAAAGTCAGTTGATTAGATTGAGAACAACGCAATTAACACTTTAAAATTCCCTTCGTTAAAATTCCTTTCCTTAAGAAGGAACTGCAGGTGGACTTTATGGTTTGTCTAGATTTATTAATTCCATTTTACACTGGTGAGATGCTCCTGGTTACGGTGATGGGAGCCAGCTGATACTGTAAGTAGACATCTTGTTTGAGCCTGTCCTGATTATTTGACCCAAATCAAAAGAGAGGTGGCTTAGTCATCTGACATCACCCTTCCAAGTCTCATACCTGTTCCTGTGCCAGAGAGAAGCATATGGCCTGGTTGGCTTGTCCTAGAAAAAGGTCCAGTAACCTTATAGATGCGTGCAGCCACATCCTGGGGAAAATCTTTAGCACATTTTATCCTGCATACTTCAGAAGTACTTGAAGCAGGGCCCTGGACTTGCAGGTTTGTAGGATCTAGGGCTGCTAACCCTTCAGGATTGTCCTGGAGTCTCCAGGAATTAGATAAAAATCTCCAAGAGACTGCTGAGAGTCACCAAGGAGATAAATGATAGGGCATTCATTAAAATAAATATTAAAAGTTGAATCCAATTTATACAGTAGTCCAGTGGGTTTTTTAAATGTAATAGTAATGTGTGTTTGCTTTCCAGATATAACACACTGTAATCCGTAACTGATATACATAAGTATGCAGGCATGTTCACGTTGTGTGTCATGGGCACACTGGTGTTTCGGAAACCACCTGGAATAGATTCAAACAGAATTGGCAACCCAACTAGGATCCCAGGTCAAAAGGATCCTCAGCTGGCAGAGAAACAGTGCCACTGCTTTGATCGGAGAGGAAAAAGGGCTTCTGCCATGGCACAACTGGTGCCAAGTTTATACCCTAAGGAATTATGCACAGAAAAAATTCAAAATGATGTGCAGAAAAGCTCAAAACTATGCTAAATTAATTATTTTTCTTTTTTTCCCTTTTTTTACAAATTAAATTAAATATAACACTTTGAACCTTCTTTAGAAATATATGCAGATACTTTGCATGGTTGGGGATGGCTGTGGGGTATGGGGGGTGATTTGTGAATGTGTGGGCAGATATGGGTGTGGGGGGGTTGTGAGCAGGTGTGAAGGGGTGTGGGTGTGTTGTGAAGGGGTGTAGGGTTTGTGGATGGGTGTGGGGGAGTTGTGAAGGGGTTTGGGGGTGTAGGGGGGTCTTGTAGGTGGGTGTGGGCACCTCACACATACACACACTGCCCTCCCCGTGGTGCACAGCCCCCACTGCCAGGCACCACCAGGCTGAATGGGCTCTGTGCCTCCACCTGGGGCTTCCAGCACTCCAACAGGAAGCCCCAGGTGGAGGCAAGCAGGGCAAGCCCCACCTGTCCCAGTGTTGCACGAGGGGATTGCCTTCAGACCTCAGGTTGGGGAGGACCGGGTTAGAGAGCTTCTGGAGGGGCTGGACGCGTTCAAGTCAGCGGGTCCGGATGCTCTCCACCCCAGGGTGTTGAGGGAGCTAGCTGGGGTTATTGCAGGGCCCCTGGCATGGCTCTATGAGCGATCGTGGTGCTTGGGCCAGGTGCCAGATGATTGGAAGG